CGGGGGTAGGTGAAGGAAAAGGGGGGTGACATGTCTGGGTTGTTGTCGCACTCCCATATGATGTGTCTCAAGGTGCCGGGTTGGTTGCAGAAGTGACATTGGGCGTCGAGTTGTGAGGGGAATAGCAGGTGCATCCTAATTGGATGGGGAAATCTGTTATTCTGTAGTAATCCGAGTGTGGTTTTCTGACTTCTCGTGAGGGAAGGGTGTTGTGCGGGTAATGTTCTTCTGTTGAGCCTGTAATGTTGTGTAATTTCTTGGTAGGTCGTGAGGGGTGTGGGTTCCAGTGTCTCCTCCGTGGCCTGGTGGTAAGGTCTCGGGCCGTGAGATGGGCGTGTTCGTTGCCTCTCATGGAGGAGTGGGCTGAGGGTGTGTTGGAAAACAGAAGTTAGTAAACAGGTGAGCTGGTCTAGGTAACATATTTTTAGCCGGTGTCGACGTGGCTCTAGACGGGGGAATAAAAGGGACAACACACATACGTCTCAAGAGACGTTGTCTTTTGTCCCCTTCTTACGTACGTCGGCTCCGGGTTAAATTATAAGAATGGTGGAAAACATCACTTTGATGTCGCCATGTCCTTGGAAGCTATCCACATATAAACCGCAACTGTCACCGTTTGTTGTTTTGATTCCGCGTGGGTCAAATGGATCGATGGAGGTTTGAAGAGACCGCATAAACCGGTTTCCTAGCTTATCGCGCTGGTATTTCCTAGAGAGGTGGTCCAAGCTGGTGCATTTATTAATTGAGAGTATGAACACATGAAACCCCTGGAGCCAAAAGAAAGAAAACAAAAACTGGTTTTGTCTATGAAAAAATTACCGCATCTCCACGTGGTGAATGATGTTGATTGGGGCGAAGCTCGGGTGGTGCTGATGATACTGATTTCGGTCATAGGTTGTGCTGATGGTGCCGTTTTCATTCATGTCACTATACTTCGTCTCACCCTAGCATGGACTAACCGCGAAGGCTGTGCTAGCGCGAGCGGCCAGCCCTGACTGCCTTCACTAGAGCACTTGCTGCACGAGCGCTCGTGCACCGCCGCGGCTTCATTCAAAGCGACTAGCTCGCGCTTTTAGCACGCGCGGCTAATAATAGTTCATGCTAAGGTGAGACGAAGTATAGGAGAATGTGTGGTTTTCTTCTTTTTTCTTTTTTTAAGAAGAAAGATGGGGATGGCAACTCAGAACCCCCTACTATTTTTTTTCTTCTTTTTCTTGACACTGATTATGGTCATAGGTAGTGCTGATGGTGCCGTTTTCATTCATGTCAGTAAAAGAATGTGTGGTTTTCTTCTTTTTCTTTTTGTGAGAAGACAGATGGGACGGCATCTCGGAGGCCGCTATCCTATTTTTTTTTTCTTTTTCTTTTTTTCTTTTTTTTTCATCTTTTTTTTTTTATTTTATTTTTTTTTTTTTTTTTCTTGCTCTCGCTGCTGAACTCACGAGCAGGGGCACGCCGGACGGCGGACGGACATACGGAGATGGCTATCCCCTAAGGAGCTTCGCCCCTAAAAATTATCCCGAAGCACTTTATCTCAAAATCATCAGAAAATCATTGTGGGCTATTCTGGCGTTTACTACGATTGAAAAATATGTTAAATGGAAATAAAATAGAATTGGCTTACCTATTATTTACTTCATTTGGCCCAAATAAGCGCCACAGTAAAATATAATATGTTTTTAGTGCGCGTGCAAAGTATAGGAAAAACATTTTTTGTTTTTTATTTATTGACTCCGGTGAGCCAATCTTTCTATAATTATAGCGAAAGCCTCTACCAACTTCAGGCACCTCTGTAGTAAATTCTATCGCGATATGTTAAGAGCCCGATTTATGCCGTCTCTTCAAACGGCCATCGATCCCTTTCAAAAGATATACTTGTTCCCGGTTGTAATGTCTTGTTTTTTCGTGCCGCATTTCGGACATGCGAACTACGTGGTGAGGACGAGGGTAAACGACCGGACAAGTATTTTTTTTTTTTTCGCTTTTCGTCGAGTATACCTAAAAACAACAGCTTGCGTTGTGTCACGTAACTTCTTGTATTATGCGTTCTAGTCGACCTTTCTAGAATGAACACCTGTTTCAAAATTTCAAGTGAAGTTATGGGTATTTTGCATTTCTTAGTTCATCGCTCCTTGCTTAAACATATCATGGACACTCGTTCGGTATAAATGAGCTGCAGTAGCCTTTGCACGAACACATCGAGTTGGAGTGAGTTTGGCGCAAGAATTTCCAGGTAAGCTTTAGAATTTGCATCCTTGTTCAAATGTCAACCAGAAAAGTTTTTTGGAAGACGATATAGATTATATTATAAAGATATCTGCGCATAAATTCTGCTGCTGTTTAAAGGCATGGTACATGTCTACACTCGCTTCACCTTACACAAATTTTGGTTTCTGAACTTGCACCGCACACACCTGATGTGCGCAAACTCGCTGCTTGTTTGTAAACCTTGCGTCGGGGTAGGGCTTTGAGGAGAGGAAATAAAGTTTACCCCATCAGTGACTACGTTATTTATTTCATTACGTAGGTTCTAAAAATTATATATTTATTTTGTTATCTTATACTGGTCGTACTTGACCTTGCGCATTTAATATATATCAAGATATCTATTATGAAGATTAATTTAGATAGTGATAAACGAATTGAATAGGGTGAGCTCTTTTCTAGAATAAAAAGAAAGGACATTATGTATGTTTCATTGGATGTGGCCTCTAAACTGGGTGTGCGTATGCCATTGTCAGTAATGAGTGATCTCAGTTCTATACCGAAACTTTATATTGAACCTGATGTTACAATCCTGAGACTGGAGAGGAAACTTGAACCTGATATAAAGTTCCTAAGACAGGGAAGGAAACTGTGTCGTCTTATACTTTTTTCTTTAAAGTTTCCTTCCCAGTCTCATGATTTTAACATCATGATCAACGTATACCAGCTCACCTGCGCCTTGACAATTTTTTCGTTTATAATGAACACCTAATTGTGCCAAACTTTAAGAACACCTCATTAAGAACATTTACTCTTCATGAATTTGAATTATCTTAAACTTTAAAGAAACATATCGATCTAAACTTCTATTCTTCGCCAGTCCCAGGCATACTCTTAAAAAAACTGCATTTATTTTCTGTTACATATGTTACTTTGGGGCATAATGTTGAACGTTCCTGGAACCCAATAGTGTCAATAGACCCTTTCTGAAATGCAGAGCCATTTAATGGCTCAAGTATCACTCTAACGCTTTGCATTCTAATAAGGGAAACAAATTTAGTATCTATTCGCTAATGGCACACGTACGAACGTGACCATGCTCTTCACTGTACAGTTCTTTATCGTTTCAGTTTTGGCTCTTACAAAAGTCGACCAATCAGTACAATGCGCTTATTTAAGTAAAACTCTTAATAAAATTCACCACATCCAAGGGCTTGTGGGCCAAGTGTATGCCCCCTGGTTTATTACACGCGACCCTAAAGGAACACCATTTTTTTTTTTTTGTTATTAGCTGTCTGAAGCGTGCCGAAGGTCAGCATTTAGAATTCGCGCTACATCCTCAAATGCGTAGCGCTCATCATGCCTACATTGACCAACTAAACAGTTGACTACGTCTATTTCAGACGTAGTCTGCTATTTTGTTGGTGGATGGCTCCGTATCGGTGTCTGGCTTCAACTTCTTTTTCAGTCTCTAAAAAGCCGCCATCAGCATGGACAGATGCTATACACACCAATGATGGTAGTCATCGAAGTGGCTAAGCTAAAGTTTGGAAAGGATCTGTTATCAGTCATCGTCTCGTGCAAGTTATCCTTTAATTTTGTCTAATCGGTTAGCACGATTCCTGAAGCATAAGGCTCAGAATACAAATATCCACTGAAATGCTGCTTGACGGAATTTTATGACAATATGCTGCAGGGGTGTTGATGTTATTTATACTCTGTTTCACCTTGTGTTGTACCACAGGAAAGGCTACAAGCGCGAGCTCTTTGCTCTATGGCACATCTCGGCGGCCCAAGCTCTCGTGCACCAAGGGCAGCTGCCAACGCTCTGAGCTCGCGCTTCTAGCCTTCGCTGCGGTACAACATAAGGTGAAACGGAGTGTAGTAATGCACTCACACTTGGAGGTTGTTTTAGTTTGTCCGAAATCACCGGTCAGTACAACTTGAAATTTGCTAATCTGGAAACAAAACAAGCTTGTGTCAACAATAATAATTCTCTTATAATTTATAAATCGTCACGTTCCAAAGTTATCCTTGCAGACAAGAGTTTTGAAGTTGAATACTTTTATCTGGTCGCCTCTTTATTTGTTGAAACTTAAGTCAAACACAGGTCTTTTATTAGAAAATGAAATGGCGCTACCGACGTCAAAACGTTTGACGTACGTAATTTTTCCGGTTTGTAAGGGCGTAGAAATCTAAAGATGCATTCGTGTAATGCCGACAACCGTGGAGTGATCGACTAAAATACTTTCCAAATTAGCTATACTTCGTCTCATCTACGAACCACCAGGTCCAATCGGGAGCCAGTTAAAAACCACGTGGTAAATGTGCGTATCCGTGCCTCAAGACAAGGGCGCTGATGCGCTCGTTGAAGCTATATATTACGTGGATTCTAACCAGCTTGTGATTGTTGTGGCCCGTTACTTCGGCTGTAGTTCATTGTAGGAAAAGTCAAAGTATAAGCTAAGAGAAGGTTGTTTTAATCGACATGTTGGTCAAATATAGATTAACGTGGCATCATTGTATCGTGAGGGTTTTGAACGGTTGCCCTTAGGTTTGTTCTAAATCAAGCTTTCAAACATTTAAATTTTACAAAAATATGAATGGCCGACCAACTATGGCTCGAAATATTTAATTAAGTAATTATAAAACTGCACGCACTGTTTTGTTTTCTATATAATTGAATATGACTTTTATGAAACTTGTTAATGTCCTAGACAAGTGTCTGTTTTCATCGTCTCGTAGTAAAAGATCAACGTCAAACACGCGACATATTTTTATTTCAGCAGTTCTAAGGGCTGCCACAAAAAAATAAATACAAGTCCTCACTCTCAAAAGAAGAAATGAATAAAGCAATACTTTCACTTTTCGTAACTTCGTATCTTTTATACCAAGGTAAGTGCCCCTTATCCCTTCATACATTCGCGTTTTTCATCTTTTTTCTGCTCCTTTAACTATGGTCCCTGTCCGGGCAAAAGCCAGCTGGGCGCTTTTTATTTCCCTGCCTCCAGCACATTGCGGAAGCATAAACTTTCGAATCGCTAGGAGATCATAAAATAGAAAAAACACGGACTAAGGAATTCCCTGCCGTTTACTAAAACATATATAACCATAGACGCGCAAGCCCACATGCTGTATAGTTAACTGCAGGATGTCAAATACAGCGCAGTGAAATACAATAAAGCGATAATATGCTTTGAAATAATTCCAATTAGAATATTTTGTCTGCAGATAAAATTTTTATCATTTCGTCCTATCTGTCCAATATTTAGTAGCATTTCATGCCACGGTAATGGAAAGGCTCCCCACAAAGATGTAGCTTCACAGCGCTTCAGTCGATAGTTGATCAATCAAAGCAAACATTAAGGTGCAAGGGTGGAATAGCTTAAAAGCGGGGATGGGCAATTAGTAGATTAACCTACCGATTTATAAGTTAATGCTTTAATAGCAATTACATATTTAACCGGTTAATCGGTAAAATTTTGACGAACCAAAATAAAGTAAAAATTAAACGCTTCCAGCACGCATACATTGACGAGCGAGTACATTTGTATGAGACAAACTTTAGGTCAAATTTTGTAATAAAGGAAACTATTGGGCGAGATTTGTAACTCCATATAAGTGCTGGAAATTACACGCATCCCGGCCACTTCAACGCCGTTCGAGTGTCCGTTTAGCGCAGCAGATATTATGGTGAACAATCAAAGAAGGCTGCTCTTGCTGAAGAATGTCATATCACCTCTTTGCTGCATGCAGAAAAAGTAATAATCTCTGAGTGTCTGAGTTGTTCTTAACTACACATGAAGACTGGTTCATAATCCAATGCGCCTTTTATCACATATTGAGCAAATGCATACAAAATATATTATTTTCGATTTTTACATATTGAGCAAATGCATAAAAATAACCCAAAACCAATTAATCGAATAATTAATCGATTAAAGGGCGGCAATTAATTCGGGATAAAACTTTTAATCCACGCCAAGCCCTGAAACAAATCACTTTCCAGAGTATTAATTAGTGAAAGGTATTTCATCGTTTAATTTTTCTTCTCGTGCGTGTCACGTGAATAATAATACCCAATGATAAAACTTGATCTCTGACCTGCTGACGATATTTCAGTTTATTTATTTATTAATTTGAAGTTGAAGACCTTAAGGATTCATGCAGAAAAAGCAAGTAAAAAAAAAAGAAGTCGCAAGTGCAGTCAGCACAGAATGAAACCCGAACGCCGGAACGCGTGGCCATCGATACGGGCTGCTCTACCTGGAGGGCCCCTGACAACTAATGAAAATGTACCTGGGTGCGAGGGTGCGAATCCTACTAAAATGTCCTCAACCCTCGCGCAGAGCGTCTGGGACTTCCGCGTTTCGCCGGTGGCGCACTGTAAGCGCCGTCACTCGGGGTGCTTTTCTGTCGCCGCACTGTCGCCCGGTCGACACCGGGTGGCCGCTTAACCTGGCTTTAGCTCTTTGCGATAAGCCCTGCTCAGACAGGGTGGTGAATTTATTCCACTCCGGAATTGATACGCCTGGCATATCGGTGGTTACCAACGAGAGCGTCAGCAAGCATTTTTAATATTCGACTGATAACCTCGCACAAAAACATGGGCATTGGTCATAAAAACCGAGGCCTCTGCGTTGGCCTGTTGCAGCATTTTCTTTTTTTCATAAACAGTATGGTCGTGCGAATAAACAAATTTTATTTCGCGTTTATGACTTTTCACTATTTCTCAGAAACCGCGCGTAGCACGTTGTTCACCGAAGCCCCAGCGTGGTTCCGGTGACACGTCATCAAGCACTAGGGGTCTTCTGTGCACGAGATGTTTCAACTTTCATTTCGCCCTTGCCATACACGAAGCGATAATGAATGATAGCGCTGAAGAGGTATCGCTGGGAATCCGATACACAAAGCGAGTGACAGTGCTTTGTGTGTCGGATGTGACGGCGAAACGCGGAACTCCCAGACGTGCCGCGCGAGGGTCGAGCTCATCTTAGTAGGACCCGCACCCTCGCACCCCGGCGCATTTTCATTAGTTCTCAGGGGCCCTCCAGGCGGAGCAGCCTGTATCAACGGCCACGCCTTCCGGCGTTCGGGTTTCATTTCGTGCTGACTGCTCATTAAGCACGACAATAGGTGCACAATCATGGCAAACGTAACTATTTGACGATGCAGGTAATCTGACTATACACACTAAGGAAAAGCAAGAAACATCACTATTAGTCAGTTTACACCCTACTCAAGGTGTCAAAAATATATAACACTTAAAAATCTTGATATTTTACTAAACCTGTCAACAAAACGGGACCATATAAAACAAGGAGTGTAAACACATGTTCAAAAATGGTAAAAAAAAAAAAAAAACTTTATTCACACGAGAAGAAAAGGAAAAGAAACCATGCCTAATTAAAATTTTCTCACATAGCTAAACACAACCATTCATGAAATGTGCGGAGTGAGAAACAGTACAGTGCCGAGCAACTAATTTCACTGCATAAGTACGTGCCCCGGCTTAATACACTAAAATATGCTGTACGTTTTTAATGACAAACTTTGAGCCATGACTGACCAAGAAACACCAGTGGTCGCTTGGAATCGTAGCGAGACTTGCAAAATGTATAACATTTTGTAACAACTCTGATGGAAGAAATTCATCAGCACAGCAACGTAGAGTAAATTAATATAGAGTTTTAGTAGATCGTTCTGATGACCCGACACTCCGCCGCCGCATTTGCGCATACATCGTATCGTTATCGGAGGTATCAGAGCAATCAGAACCGATCTACTAAAACCCTCTTATATGTAAAGAAAAAAAAAGGTGTAGACCTGGCTTGAAACGCCTTATTTTGGTGACAATTTAAGCACTTTTTATCATCCGACAGTTTTTTTAAGTGCATATCAGTTTGCAGGTGCTTTTTACGCTACATTGTAATTACATATTTATTAGTGACCACGTCTGTAATACAAGGACACGAGCCCAGGGTTCTCTGGGATTATAAGAGAAGGTATAGAGTCGCTACTCTGTACTTGTGCCGGGTATTGAGCACCGAAACGGTGTGAGTGATGTAATTACGAATTAAGAAATAACCAAAAGGGGAAACTACCCCAATTTTCGTAGTATTAAACACCTGCTTTAAATTTAAAAAAAAAAAAATATTGTGAAGGAATTTTAATCCTATAATTATCATTATCAGTTTATTTTGTGCGCTCATGAACAACGAAACTGCCTTCATTATGGCGCACAAACAAAAATATATACGCCTTCTAAAATAATAATGTCCGTGATCGAATCATTCAATCAATCAATTAAACACATCGAGCGAATCTAAAATTTGATTATAATCAGTTTTTTATATTGTTCTCAGCTGCTTATTCTGAGCTTCTCGACTCATTGTCAGCTCCTGATTTGGAACTACAGAGTTGGAAAGATGTGGAGCAAAATATCGGAAACTCTTCATGCATGAACCACTTAAAAACGCAAATGGACGAAGCATGTAGGCAGTTAGGGGAAAGCACCATGGTGCGTAACTGACAAATCTTCTACAACCTCTCAAGTCCTGTTATCAAATGATAGGTATATTGTAAATATTCAACTGTCCAATTTCCTTCTGAAACTCGATATCAGGTATCCGTGGACTTCGCCAATTGCAAGATGGGATGCCAGAATGCGACGGCAGCATCCGTGAAACCTTACAATATGCCCAACGGCACATCTTGTGGATTTTATGGCGAAGTAAGTTCCCGAAATAACCTCGCTTTATTTGTATCTATTACCAGAAAAAGAAATTCCACCGCTATGCCTCTCACATTTCTATCATATTCGCAGCTTTAATCTGCACAACAGGTCAAGTGTGAATAGGGAGCACCTGTTGTGAGCTCACTATGGCGTTGGACAGTTAAACGGAAAGTCCGGTATAGCTATAGAGGGACTTCGGACACCGCAGCGACAGCGACAGCGCCTGCTTCCACTGTGTCTCCTTTGCCGGTGTTTCTACAACCAACCGGCGGGGTCGCGGCGACTCGTAGCATTAAGCGCGAGACACATGCGCGAAAAATTCATCCGATCCGACGTCCGATCCGGCAGAACGACTGCCTGATCCGAAAAATTCGGTCGCTTCAGACGTCGGATCGGCGATCCGGCGTGCATTCAACGTGCCAGATTGTTTCGCACGGCAGACGGACTGTCGGAAGCGTCCAGCCGATGACAGCGCAGCTAGCGCGAACGTCATCATGACGTACTGGGTCTGGTGGGACGAACAAGAAAACGGGACGGACGACGAGAAGCCGGACGAGTGGATCCCGCTGATACATTCGAAAAAGATGGCTTAGGCAAAAGAATGCACGCGCTAGCGAGAACGAGCTCCTAACTTCGCACGTGCGAGCTAAACCGTCAATCATGGGACCAGAGATCTATGAACGCGGACCTCCGCTGGAGTGCTTGGATCTCCAGGGCGGAGCCGAACGGATCGTCATGTCGCATGCAAGGTCGGAGGCGTGTGTCTCAAACTCGCGTGCGGCGATTCGGAGCGGCTTTCGGACTGTTGGATCGGACGATTCTGCCGTCTATGTGTCTCGCGCTTTTGGTTGGTACTTTCGGGGATATTCCATGGCGAGGCCAACATAGGACGCTAAAAGTCCCAATCGGAGAGGCATTAGGAAAATATGAGTGTTCATTTTTAGGAGCCCATCGGGGATATACCTTTCAGTTTTACGCCAAACTTAAAGGAGCAATGCAACAATTTTTGTACTTTGCGCAAATACCGCTTAAAACGGATCCCCAACGTTAATGACCTATGAAACACGAATTCGTTTTTCACCCAACGCAATAGAAGTCCCAGAAAAAAAATGAAAGAAAAACGAACAGCGTTCACCCCCTCAACTCGCAGCCAGAACAAGCGGCCACGTGATCTGGAACCGATTATATGCCGCCAGTGTTGATCATAGCCACGCGCTGGGGTTGGCAAAGCGCAGGACACGCGCTGAGTTCCAGACATTGTTATGGCTCGGCTGTTGTCGTCGTTGCAGCGATTGGACACGGGTCACTACCCGAATGCTTCTCGAGCTAGCAATTATCACGAGCCTAAGTCGAGTGCCCACGCAATGCTCGGGTCCAATCTATGAACCGCATTCAAATATCGTCACTTGGGTGTACTGCGATCCCCGAGTTACGTCATCAAATTTCGCAAAGGAGAGATTAAATGAAAATGATCGCTTTTGTCCTTGAAATTACACCGCAACAAAGGAGTTTCTTGGCCAATGGCGTTGCGTGTGAGTATCCTTGAGTCCCAGGTGTGCCGGTAAGCTCGTGTAGAGAGAAAAACATTCCAATTGAAAATCGTTGCACAGCTCCTTTAAGGGTGTTTCCGAGCCCTATCAAGCGTAAGACAACATGGTGAAAAAAAAAAAAAAAATAAACGGACTATAGCAAAAGTTTTCAGAAGCATGTCTTGAGATCGTGCATTTACTATAGTAAAATTGTGTGAGCGTAAGGTTCTAGAAACAAATTAAAGCCAACAAAGTCGTGTTATTCCGACGTGGACAAAAAAGAAAAAAAAAAAAAAAAAACGTCTGTTCGACGCTGCTACTCACAGGTGGAACCACGTGGAACAAACATTAGAAAGTCTTCTTGATACGAACGCCCGAAAGCAGATACAGGAAATCATAGCGTGTTTGGCACCTTGCATCTGCGGCAAGCGGCATCCACCAGACAAAATTCGCTTTCGCTTTTGTCCCTATGCATAAAATAACTCATTTTATGTTCATGGCTGTTTTTCCTGAAACTTGCTTTCACGAAACGTGAGTGTAATTAATCCATCACCTAAAATCACCTTTGTTAAAACACAAGAAATTTTACTGCGCTACGTTTATTAACTTATTTGTACGTTTCTTTTCTTTTTTCTTTTTTTACGCCTGGATAACTTACGCTTGGTGCGGATTTTCGAGGCGCGATACGATGTGTGCGTAAGCAACGCCATTGGAACGTCAAAGGGAGTAAAAGGGGGGAGGGGGGGAGGGGTAAGAAATCTTTGGGGACCGGTGAGCAAATGGCTAGCTGTGATTCTGGCCGATTTGTAATGTGTGATTTCTTTAATCCTAATTCTAATTCCAGTGGGTTGTCCAGATTGCGGCAGCTTTCGTGCAATCAGCAGATGATAAGTTTCTTTTCATCGGCCTGGTTGAACTGTCAAAATATATATGCACTGCCTTCCTGTCACTGACACCTAAAAAAAACACAAAAAAAACAACAACAATGGGCGTGCGAGTTGTTATTTTCGCTACGCAGCCAATGAGATTGCAGCATTAGCCGATAAGAATACCGACCAATCAATCGAGGAGAAATTTGTAATGACACATCATACTGTCGCGCGATGCGTCTGCATTACCAGATGGGACATCGGGGGTGCGGTTACTTACCAATTTACTAATTTCGGTCAATGCCGCGAACGAGTGTCAAGGGCTTGTTTGAAAAACATGACTCTAGTCAAGTTTTTATAGCCACCAATTTTTACTAAAAACTCGCCACGTTTTTGGTACTGTCTACAAAACGTTCCACCAAAGTACTAGTTTCCGCGGGAACATCACCTCTCATTGACGGCGAAGCTCGTTTTGACTTCTCGCTCTTCCTAGAAGTAGGTGCACTCACTGTGATGTACTCTTTTTTTCCTGCTGAGAAATGCCAAAATGGAAAATGCGTGGGCCAATGCGAAATGGAGCCCGAAGAATCTCTCGAATCGCCCGAAAAAAATGTCTGAACAAAGCACATGTCATCATGCGCTCCGACGATGTGACATTATAGCAAGAGGATCCGAGAAAAAAAAAAGCATCAATATACTAGGAAATAGTTGACTAGCAGTCTCTCATTAAATTTTGTCAAAACCTAATATGTCGTCTGTGAATACTTCCAGATAAGAATATGCAGTTTACGCTCCGGCAATAATGAGCAGTAAGAAAGTCGAACTAATCCGAACCTGGGTGAAAAACCAAATATATTTAACTGATAACTACAATAAGAGGTCTCGTTGATTTTTCTTCTACTTTATCTTTATCCAAAAATATGAAAGTACTTCAGTATCGAGACGCCGGGGAACATTTTAGCTGTTCTTTTTCAGTCATCCTTCCTTATTGCGTTGAGTCGTACGTGGATTCACATAATAAATTTGCACGAGAAAACCAGGATCATAATGAATATAGTAGACCTAAATGTTTATCTATATTTGAATAATGCATCTAGGGTAGGGCTCTTGATCGATTAACCCACCGATTAATCGATTAATGCTTTAATCTCGATTAACTTTTCTAACCGGCTAATCGGTTAAAAATTCACAAATAAAGAAAAAAAATAAAAATGCGACGCTCTCACGACATAGACGGGGACGAGTGCGCCCGTAAGAAGGCAGCCTTGAGGTGAAAGTTTGACCAAAAGTAAACTGTAGAGGCGAGATTTGTAACTCCATGCAAGGTGCACATAGGCGGAAAGTTTTCAATTTCCTCGGAAAAAAAAAAGGGGGGGGGGGGGGGGGGGGGACCCTACGAAACACTGCTCCCCCTTCCCGTTTCTTTCCGGGAAAGACGCCTTAACAGGTTACAAATGCGATTTCGTCTAAGGGACAATAATTCGAAATAAGTCATTTTGCAGTCTAACATGGTAATGAGAATCAAGCTCTAGATGCAGGACCAGCTGAATAAATATACGAGTATGGTTAATTTATCTTTGTCGTCTTGTTAGTTTTGATCGCGAACCAATTACTCTATGCATATATCTCCGTCCTCGTACAATAGTAGCAATCACTATCGTTTTGTTTGTGATATTGCTGGAACAGTATTAGTATGAAAGCTCCACCTTGCTCCTTCGTGTCTCGAATGTCGAAGTTGAAGGGAACGAACACAGTGAGAGTACTAAAGACAGAAAAAAGACAGAAGCCAAACAAATAGAATGCGAGGCTTCTTTGATGCTGGTTTGGCTCTCCCCTAACAAGAAGGGAAAGACATCCATGTGTGCCCTCCTCATCGCCCCCTCGCAATGTTGAGGAGGCAACAGCCAAGTAGAGAGCTACCGTGCAGCCAGGCTGGCGCTCGGTAGGGAACCCGGCGGCCAGGCGACTTTTCTCCGCGGTCGTCGGTCGTGTCTGGTGGCGCCTTCAAATTTTGCCGCCTGTTGCCGCCAAAGAACAACAACACATCGCCGACAACAGGAAGATGTTCTTTTTTTTTTATGTTTTTCCTTTTTTTACAAACGTTTTTTTTTTCCTTTTTTTTTTTTTTTTTTGACGCATTGCCGGGGCATTTTTTAAAACGCCTTTGGGCGTCAAAGAAAGCATTTCGCTGCTGTCACAAGTGCCGAGTGAACGGACCACTTTTCTTCTTTCATCAGTCCCTCCGTCTTGCCTCTGCTTTCTTTTGGTGCCCGAGATTCTTTTTCGCCTTTCTCTCTTCATTCTGTAGGGCAAAAGCGAATTCAGAGCCTTAAGAATTGCCGTCGCCATTGTTATTAGGGAGTTTTAGAATAGCGCACGCTAAAGCTTTGCGTACGCAAAAAATAGCGTCGTCGCCACTGCGCATGCTCCGAACGCAAACCAGGTTTTGCGCTTTGCGTGCGCAATTTTAGCGCGCGCTATTTCTCGGAAATAGCGTGCGTACGCAAAGAGTCTTTGCGCTTCTCCAAGGAGGATTCGTGATGAGAAGTTGGCTAAAGCCAAGACGAGCACAGTTTAAAAAAATGGCGGCTTCCAGGATTATGTCGGCGGCTGCTTTGGCGGCATGGAGAATAGAAGGGTAGGAGAGGGCATGACGTCGGCCGCGTAGCCTCCACAAGCCATGCTCCCTTGACGCCTCACCTCTTTCTCATTTCCCTCCTTACTCTTCTCACTCACCATGCCAACGTGACCACATCACGTGACCGTAGCTAGCCTTCGTCTTCTTGTAGGCTACTAGAATACACCACAGTGTAGCCTTCGATCTGATAAAACCTACCGGACGGAGCGCGCGCAAGCCTGCAAGGAGTCCTTCTATAATCAACCATCCATCTCACACGTGACATGTCACGCGCACCAATCGCCAGAGAGATCTGCGGTCACGCTGGGCACAAAATCGTTTAAACTTTTTATGACTAGGCTTCACCAATATTGCAACGTGCCCCCTCCTAGTACTTCTAACCTCCTTGTTTGGCGGCGTCGTGAGTGCGACGTCGGCGGCATCCTCGGGACTGCAATTTTCAATACGGGACGACATTGTACTCGGTTTGGCAGCGATCACCGGCAACTTGATGCTTGCGACGCGCGAAGATTTCACGGCGAAGGTCAGTATACGAGACCTCTCTTGCCGAGGCGACGCAAGCGGACACGACCGGTCAACCGCTCGCGTCGCGTTCTCATGTTTAAACAAATTAAAATGCTACTCTGGACCAAAAAACTCGTTTTCTTTTAAAGTTACATCATTTCGTGTGTGAAATAAAAAATTGACTGTATCTCGGTGGCGTCGCAAGCGCGAGATGCTTGGGCTTTTGCGTCGCGGCGGAGAAACGCTATTCTAAAACTCCCCTGCGTCGCGTGCGCTAATACAAGCGCTAACTTTAGCGCTAGCGTGCGCTAAAATTGCGTACCTTATTCTAAAACTCCCTATTACCTGCTTGGAGTCTCTTAGTATTTATTTCTTGACGTCTGCAGGTTTGTTTCCTTTTTTATTGCGGATTTTTCTTTCGCCTGGTACTTGCTTTTCCGAAGAGCTCAGGAGAGAGGGGGGGGGGGGGGGGGGGGGGGGGGGGGGCTTGGGGGCTTCTTCCTTTCCGGGCGATCGAGGGATCCGGATCACTGGCTCTTGCTCAGGTGGCGATGCGCGCAGTTGCTCTCTCGTTCGCGTTAGCTAGCGCCCGTCGTCAGTCTCAATCACATAAGAGCGACGAGGCCCGGCTCGGTTTACGACGACTGGTGGAGAACACGTGTGTGCGATAGTGTCGACTGTAGACACCTGCTGAACCTCGTGCATTTCTGGAAGGGCCCTTGGTTTGGTGTAGTACGTTTGATGCTTCTTGCAGATCACCTGTAGTCCGCTTCGCACCTCGCTGCGCTCTGCGATGGTTGGCTCCAGGCAGCGATCGGGAACCGGAAGTAACGTCCGTGTCTGGCGATCCATTAGTCTTTGCACTGGAGACTTCAGCAGATGATCCCTTGGGCTGTTGCGCCACTCCAGGAGGGCGCTGCACAATTCAAGGGTGTTGTAGCCCAACTTCGTCAGCAGTTTCTGTGTTTCTCGTAAGGCGCTCTGCCATTTCATTGGACCGGGTGTGGTAAGGGCTTGACGTCACTTAAGTGATTCGGGATTTATTCACGAAGCCCTGGAAACTTGGGCTACTGAATGTGGGTCCGTTGTCGCTGCACAGTTTTATTAGCAATCCATGCGTGACGAAGACTTCTGCATAGACGGAGACAACTAAAAATGCCGTGGACCGTCGAAGTTCGTTCATTTCGAAGAAAAAGGAGTAAAAATCTCCAATAACTAGATAAAAATAATTAAAAACGCAGGGCCGCCGTGGTAGAACAGGTCTACGCCCACCACCTGCCACTGGAGGTTTTGCAGCTCGACTTAGTAAAGGTAGCCTTGCGTTTCTGGGCTTATGCTTCCAGACGGACATGAATTAGCAAGAACCTCGACATCGCTTGACATGGTCGGCGAATACATCACTTCTCTGGCGCGCGTCTTCATTTTTGCTTCACCTGCATGTGCTGCATGCAAAATTTTCAAAACTTCCGCTTTCTTCACCGCTGGGAACACCACTTTGTTCCTCTTGAAGACAAGGCCGTCTTCTAAGTGCATCCCTTCTCCGTAGCTCCAATACGGCCCAACTTCGTCTGGGACTTCGCGTTTCTCAGCCGGCAAAGAAGTCGATGCGTACTCCCAAAGCTGCTTGAGCGCCGTGTCGTTTTCCGTCGCCTGCAGAATGTCCGCCAGTCGTGCATCTGAAATCGGTAGGGAGTAAACGACGTTAACTTGAAATTGTTTGGTTTCATCTTTCAGCATGATCTTGGTTGAAAACCTTGAAGGCGCGTCAGCGAAGATAAATTCTTTCCCTGGCTTCTACTTCACTGTGATAAGGTATCTATGCAGCACAACTTAAGCCTCATTTCTTGTAGGCGCAGTGGTCACTCACAGAGGGGCTTCCTGAACATTGCTTCCGCTGGCTTATGATCGGATTCAATGATCACAGCTGAGTGCCCCAATATATAATCTTGAAACTTGCTGCATCCGTTAGCAATAGGGACAGCGGCTCTTTTTCTATCTGGACATATTTCTGTTGTGTTGCGGTCAGGAAGCGGGATGAGTAGCAGATGGGGTGTCCATTCTGAATAATTACTGCTCCGATGTCAGTTTGGCAGGCATCTACTGATAACGTGATTGGCTTGCCTTGTTCGGAATACGCGAGCACTGGTGCCTTAATTAGACATTTCTTCAAGGCTTCAAAACTGTGCAATGCTGGCATTCAGTCCACACCCAAGCATAATTCCTTTTTAGTAGCTCGCGCCGGGGTGCCGAGAGCGCTGGCATCTTTGGTATAAACCTGGCCACAAAGTTAGTCATGCCGAGAAAAACTTAGAGTCCTTTACGTTCTCTGGGTTCGCGTACAGCGATTATGTCCTCGATCCGTCCAAGATCTAGGCTCAACCCCCGAGTCATCAAATTGTGACCTAGGTATCGCACATGGTCCTGCAAAAAACGACAATTTTTTTTATTAAACTTCAGACCGTGCTGCGAGCGGCATTGCAGCAGACTCTTCGATCTCGTCGCGTTCTTGCTTCGTACGTAGTCCCTCAAACTGGGGTA